ATTGTTATTTTGATCAAAACAAATTTTCGATAAGCTGTACTAAGTACATGTACGATGACTTAACTATTGAGCTAAACTTATCAGTATGCAGAAACACAGGCATCCATAAAAGGGAATCAATTAAATATTCACTGTTGGAACAGACACGTAAGTTGTTTTATAGAGGGGCACAAGTATTTTGTGTAATGTTACAATATTGTCTGTACTCGGTGTTTCAGTGCCGACCGTGCACAATTTGCGTGTTCGAAAAGATAGACAAGAATGAATATTGAAATAAGTAAGTGTTCATTTCACGTCCACATAAAATGAGGATGAATACCATTTCTTGTTGATGTATCTTTAATCAATGTTAACAGAACATATGTTTATTTCCAACCTCATTTTCAGTATAATAATATTGCATCGTCTAAACTCTAAGTATATACACGGAACCAAGTTAGTAATGTTCTTGTTTAAAAGATTTGTTTATTATTTCGGTCATAGTTATACGTCTTATGTTGCATGGAAGAATGGGCGATGACCTCAGAAACTTGAATGAACAATCGCTCCGAAAGCACCTTACATATACTTGTCTGTATTAACACTTTACAAAGGATGTGCTCCACGGAGGGTTAGTAAATACAACGCAGCAATCCAGACATGTAATGTACGTCATCTCCTTGACTTTGTCTTTAACCTATTATGAGGAAGACAAGTCACCATTACTGTACTGAGCTTAGCGAGGCGTCTTCCTGAAAGTCATTACTAATCGCTACCGATTACGATTCAAACAACACAGATGCACTAGAGTACAGCAATTCGTGATTGTGTTGTTATCGGATTAGTAATAACATTCCGAATATAATTCCTCGCTGGTTAAAGCGTCAAGCTTTATATAAATAGTCTTTGAACATCGTCAACGCATGAGTAAATTGATTTTGTGATTTTCTCGTAAAAGTGTGAAAATTAAACACGCATGTAATTCAAGAAGTCCGGTTTCCATTACTATATAAATATTAGTTGTATTTACAGTGTTCTGTATTTGTAATGGTTTGTGCATTTTTTGGGAAAACTCGGAAACTTGATCTTAGTGGTGACAGGTGTGTCCGTATATGTTTGGTAAATATCGGCTTTGAGGTCGATATGTTCTAAAGATGCGTTAGGGTAGCGTGGTTAGAAAACGGTAGAAAACCATTTTCGAGAAAACAAATTTTTAGTAGACAAGTAGCGATGTATATTGCACAAATATTAAGGAAAATAACCAAAAACGGCTACATAAGAATTGAAACCATTGTTTTTTTACAATAAATGGTAATTATCATATAATACAGTTTTACACAAAGATAGCTGCTCTACTGATCCATTCTAATCAAACGCATTTGGTTTATGTCCTATACGTTCCATTATTCATTGCCAATGTATTGCAACCCGCACGAAGTATAAGTGTTAATTTAGGAGCTATTGATAAAATTAAATTTTCTGTTGTACGACTATTTAAGTGACAGAATTTGAATTTAAATTGCATCGCAGTCACCAAGAAATGCCTACCGGTGATTGTAAATACGCGCCATCGATCCACATACGTCATTCACAGTCTCCTAGGTAAATTTGAACAAGGCGACACGGATGTCACCCTTTTAGTCTTGGATGATGACACAGTTTGTATTAAAACAGTGATAATAATCCAGATTGATCGATATATTCGAATCTTGATAGAGTAGAACGTCGCCATCCCCTTTACCGAGTCTATAATGCCAGAGCAACATCAAAGCCATTGTCGCAATACCCGGTATTCACGTCAAAAGAAAAACTAATTTCGAACACCGCGGCAACTGAGTATTCTGCGGTCTGCTCAGTATTCTCAATCAATCATACTTCTTTAGCTGTCTTTACGCTGGGATTAAATGTGTGAAGAAATAATACTCTGACAGTTTATCATTATTGTTTTATTATATATAACGATGGAATTGACTATCACATATCACAAGATAATTAGCTAACAAAGAATTCATAATTGTAAATGTCATGTATCTTTGAGTGACTAATAGAATTTAATTAGACCTATTGATACTAGACATGGCGATTAATTATTCCCAAATCGGATCGATTCAATAAAGGTTGAAAGTCCACATTCAGGTAATCCCAGATCATCTAATATTGCCCGGATGTAGCAAGTGATACCCGGATGTAAAATGTATCAGACGTAAAAGGATGTGCGAAAAACGATGGGTTGTAGTGAAAAATAAAAATAACGTCGTACCCGATGGAAGAGAATAATACATGGCGTCTATTAGGGGGCTGACTGACTGCATAACTTGCTACCTGATTGATTGATTGATTGATTGATTGATTGACGGCATAACTTGCTACCTGATTGACTGACTGACTGACTTACAATTACCAATCTAGGTTTGTGAGTAAAATAGTGTCGACAATTCAAAGAGCATTTTGAGGATCTTTAAATAATGTTTCATAATAACAGTAACGTGAAATACTGGAAAATTTTAACGCGCATGCGTTAACGATTCCAGAGACTACACGTCTGTCCTACTCTGCGTCAGGGATGATTAACTAAATTGAATTGTACATTGTGAGTTACGCTATAGAGATTATAGTCTGATAATCACTTGTTTGTTGAATTGGTTGATACGAGTGACGTCACGAGTATCAATCCTCTTTAAAAATATTTATATCACGTGACAATCTTCTTATTATCCCATCCACTCCGAATAACTTTCTGCAGTTTTTTTACTGCGCAGACACCGATGAATGTCATATGTAATTAACATAGAGGCATAGTTATAGAATGTTATACAGAAATTAATTACTTAGCAGTAATTACTAATATATAGGTATGTTGTCATGAACTCTGTGGTATTATTATAGTTGACATCGGAGAGGAACGGAGTACCTTCGAGAGGGTCTATGCTTCGAGGCAGTCGAAAATGTGACTGACAGCTAACTGTGGCCAATGTGATTGGCGTCTGGTCTCTCGGGGTGCTGGCAAATCACCTGTGTTTTTCACGATGTATTTATCCTAAACACATGATATAGCTCTACGCATTTTCTTTTTACTTACAGTATATTATTTAACATTCTCCCTCTTGCTTGCTGTCGTTATTTGAATAAATACTTTTGTTTTTGCATGAATAAATCTCGCATCAACAAAAACAACAAACAAAAACATCAAAATATTGTTCCCATTTGCTCCACGCTATTGTTAAATTCGCTTCTAACAGGGGTTACACGTTAACGTTTGGTTAAATAGGTCCCCCGATAGCAATCCCAATCACAATTTGACCTATTTGTAATTTAATGGACCTGCGAAATGTTTCATTAAGATCCTTGATTATAAACATGCTGATGCGACGGGGGTCAACTTGAATGACGAAATTAATCTACCGTAGAACTCAAAACTCGGAAAGATAACGAATTTTAAAAGCAAAACACGTATTCGATGACCACTGTGTTATTGATTTGCGAACGGTTCAAATGGTAGCACATTGTGTAAAAGCGAAGTCAGCTCCCTGGTCGCCTCCCTCGCCCCGTGGTAAATCGAATATCATCCAATTTCAACCGCCATATACGCATGCTAGTAGCCGTTGATGCGAGAAATAAGTTTTAAATCTTTTCAGGGATTGAAAATTAAGGTAATAAAAAAGTACTATTAAATGTTATTGTATTCGGGGCACGCCTCGAGGGTACGGTGTTCATATTGTTCGATTCGATTGCAAGTGTAATTTATTAAATTCATTCTTTCGCTTGAACAAAAGATGAGGGCAGTACACCCACTGTCACGGTGCAAGCACTTCTTTTTAAATTGTTGGAATGACATCGCAAATTGATTAAAATATCGATCCGAAAACCGACGAACTTTCTAAACGCATATACAAGGGAAAATAAGTAATTTATTAACAGTTTATGAAGAAACCTGGTATGTGTCAGTATGTCGTTCGTTCGTGTAAACAGTCTCATGGATAATGTGTACAGATATTCTCCAGCATTTGCGTGCTTGGACCATCATATAATGTACGTAACATTACGACTGTTCGTTTCCGCAACACTGAGTGCAACTGGGATGTTACAAAGTGTGCCTGCGTGAGTCACAATAGAACACGTGAAATCATTGTCATTTTGAATATTTTAAGTAGAATTCTACTCAATGGTCAAAATTTATCATTTCCCTTATTCTTACATATGTGCATTTAATGTAACATCGAATGAAAAAAAAAATCAAATAAAAATATGGGGTCACCGAACTCGATTCAGAGGAAATCGACGTAAATGAAGTGAAAATAGCATGTTTGTGTTTTTAAGACATTTTACTAATGCTAGGTATGATATATCTCAAAATTGTGTTCAGTGAAAAAAACAATATGCATCTTACAATATAACTTTTTTTCTTCTATAAGTAAAATTGAAATTATTTTTAGTGTTTTAAAGACAAAATATTATCGCTAAATATCGCTGTTAAATTTGTATGCATAATACTTGACAGATTGACAGTGAATTTAAAATGTCGTCATGATGTTGACTAATACTAAAACAAATAATTATAGACATATTTTGAAATATTGCCACTTATATATACGGTACATTACGCGCACATGATAAAAACGCGCGAGAATTTCGGTGTTGCAGATGCAAATAAAAAAAAGCCCAGGGAATATTTTCATGTAAGATGATAGCCGTGTGTTAGAATATGCTTAAGTAGTACACCCAAATAATGATAGTTGTTACTTTTTTTCTTTCGGGTGGTGGAAATGTTTGGATCGAAATACTACAATGATGTCGCACCCCAAGTTTGGATATAGTTAGTAACAAGCTTAAGATTTCAACAGTTACAAAGCTAAAATAATGGACAGGATCCGAGAGACCCTCCCAACAGACGAAAGTTGTAAGTTGCTGCAAAGTCTCCCTCAAATTGAGTTTGCAATCTAAACATTTCAAAAATCAGCGCAGCTATCATCATACATATAGCAAAGATGAAATGTGATATGAAAAGTTGTACGAGTACTTACCAGAAGGCAGAAGAACTAGGATGGCCGATATTATGAGTAGACGGGAACAGAAACAACCAACTCCGCCGAGTTCCACCATCGCGATGTTATATAACAAATGCAATTTCGACCGCGCGTATCCACTCGTAACCCGAACGCACAAATCCGCTGGAAATCACGTACCGGCAACAAACTCTTAAGATATCCGGGGTTGATCCCTCTGCTGCAGAAACGTGTCTTTTTAATGTTATCGCTTAATCGCCTTCTGAGACAAATCTTCTAATGGCGCGCAAAGGCCACAGTGACGAGAAATCTAGAATGGAGAAGAAGTAAAAACAAGTGGCAGTCAGTTTAGTTTGTATTGCGATGCGGACGATGTCTTTAACTCGAATGCAGCTGTGGTGTGCGAACTGAGTTTTGTGTATTACCAAGAACAGTTCAGTGCGCATGTGCGCAACACCGTTCCGACGATCGGTGTTGTCCACAGTTAATCGTTCATGAATTTCACTTGGTAAAATTAACTATCCAAATCACTCTGGGGGACATGATATTGACCATTTAACAGCGACTCACATTGCTAAAGATATCGACCATGCGCAGAAATTTAACCTTCATCTATATTCATTTAAAGAAAAGACACGAGCATCGTTAGGACTACCTCACCTTGGCATAATTTACCGTGAACCAGACGAGAATTGATCGCAAGGATGAAGCTGTCAAAATCGACTACAGGTGTGTCATCATAACTAATAGAGAAACTGTGTTCTGCTTTTAAAATGATGACTACTCAAGGGTTCTTCAATTAAGAGTCGACGTTTATTCTTGATTATCATCCCGATCTTTCCTGGATATTTTTTCAAGCGGATGATATCTCGATTGAGCGTGTACTGGTAAAGTTAAGGTCAGCGGCGGACACTGTTGGGTTGAATTGCTCAGATCGTCCTTCGGGTACGTTATTAACTTATAGGTCAATCCTTGTAATTTAAAACGACGTCAACGCACTGCGCGGACCAATAGCACATTTTCGCGTCTTTATGGCGCATCGAGTGTGATTTAGTTAAAAAGACGTTATTGCACGCAGTTCTGCACACCTTGTTTCAATTCAGATGTATTGCCCGTTATAACAATGTCAACAGCGATAATTGCAAAACTCACAGACGTTTGGATATTTGTTCAGCCCTCAAGCAGTTTTTCGGCGTTACTGATAACAATGCTTCATGATCAGATATGGAATTGCAGGGTGCATCGGCATTTACGATCACCTAAAATTGCCGCATAATGATTAAATCATGAGTTGGCATGCCCTGGTAAACATCGATTCGAGCCGCGCTAGCTGCCCATGAGTGAACATTAGTGAAAACCAATAGTGATAATATGGAAAACTCTGAATATATTTCAGAATGTTATGCTCTATATTGTTAAAGATGCAGTATTACAATCACTGTAAACTAATACGTCTTTTGACGTAACACGCAACCACGCATTGGTTGTTTGATTTTCGCGAAATCAATTTGGAAAACTTGTTAGTTTTAATTAGAAAAGAGCTCACTGGTTATTTTCTTTTTGACTTTCAACTTTTACAATAAGGTATATAAAGGACGTCTCAAACGTAATCTTTTAAAAATATTTCTCTAAACGAGAAGATTATATGATACAATTTTGCCCATTGGACTTGTATTTAATTACACCCACGCTAATATTGAAATCAAACTCTACGGTTCGACTAGTAAGTTTGCACGTGAATATATTTGGTACACGTGTATAGAGTGCCCATCAAATCCGCTCCGCACAATGATAATTTCTACTTCAGGTAATCACCATGGGAACGAGACGCTTGTTACCGCGTTTCAGTGACAGGTGTATTTCATTTCCACAGCCCTTATCGTGTACGTGTGACCTCATAGTCGAGACTTGCTGCCTTAAGGGTATACTATACAAAGACATTCCATTAACCATTCTTGCAAAAACACAGAGAAGATATACAAACAGATAAATAACCAACCTTTCTATTATCCCTCTTTAAATTTATGTTTCTATTCTTTACAGGTCGAAAAAAGTAGGTATATAAAATGGTAATCAGGCGTGAAGCGTAATTGCGGGATGAACTTTAAGAAGAACTCGCAGCTTCGTGTTTTTCTTAACAACAGATCAGTCATCACTAATTTGGCCTTGTAGGCATAAGTTGTGCACATCACGCATTCAACGTATAAGACGACATTCACTAACCGAGGGAATAAAAAACAAATAAAAACTAAATTTTGCACAACTTATAAAAAAAATGGGTTTAAACAATCAAATAATTTTAAATTAAATTAATTAAATAAATCCCTCTTTTTATAGCTAATATCGCCACTTACAAAGTAACGCCGCGAGATGTTTTGGGTCTGTCTGTGTGTATGTTCGTTCAAGCTCCACTTTGCGGAAAGAAATAGCAACCTATTAGAGTGATAAAACAATTTGAACCGTGAAAATCCTTCTGCGGTATACTCTCATTAGGCAATCTTGTTTTCCTATCTCATTGGCCGTATTACTCCCATTGATAGTTCGAGGGAATAGTCGTCTTTCTACGGTCATTCAAGGACGTGAATTTTGACCTGCAAAACGCCGGCATTCCGTACACAATTTTAGACTAAACGTGCAAAATGTGCATATCGCCTTTACGCCCATCACTGCCACCATCGAGCATTCCGAGATCAAATGTACGAGTTCACGTGAGATATTGTAGATGGTATCTCTATAACGACCCTTCAATGTCAGATTTATTAAACAAGTGTAGTCATTTTCATTTGATCCGAGCTTTTAATGTACTGTGTATTCCATATATATTAGCATCTTTGTCAGCAAAGGTTTATTTAATCGGCTATTATGCCTCACGTGTAAGGGCTTAAAACACTCATTAGTTTTAACTGATATCTGAAACTGTCAGAAATACCCAAATTAAGGTAGAAGCCTACTCATGATTTTGACAAAATTGGTCATAAATTGCATGACAATGTTCATTAGTTTATTATGTACAATCATGATGCTAATGTCCCATGGTACAATGAAATAGCATTATTTATTATTTTAGAACAACTCCAAAGAACACAATGCTAAAGAAAAATTGCATTTTTTGACACTTTTTAAAACCAAAATTTTTGACATAATTCAGAACAACAAAAAGTACTCCATCATTAACAATATATGTTTTTTCAGCCTATGTCACCAGGATAGATTTTGTGATATTTCATAATATCTTTATCATAGGAACCAATGGTAAAAGCATTATAATAGTGCCAAAATGGTGACTTTCCACTAAAATACGACCATCAATTGCTCGAAAAAAAGGCTTGTGACCCCAACATTTTTTAAATCAATATCCTTACATCACCTTGGAATACAGTCTATTGTAAAATGACTAAATTCTGAGTATTTTAATTTATGAGTAAGCTTCTACCTTAATATAATTCTAAGGGTCCTTCAAGACATAAAACCACCAACATATTGACATATTGTCTGTTATGATGTCAAAAAATCACTCTGATTGCATAGACTAATCATATTGTCACGAGGTGCCTAGAAATGCTGTACGGATGCCTATCTATCTATTTAAATGATGGGTCATACACCCCTTGTTGGAATGGTATGGTCCAGAGAACAGATCGTCCGGTCGGGAAATTTGAATACCGAGTATGTGCACCTGGACATTGATACCTATAAAACTACGCCTTCATCACATGCTTGGGGCTATTCCATCTGGCGTAACCACGTTGGACACACAGTCACTGTAATCAATAAATACTCATTTAAAAAAATCATCCGCTATACGCATATAAATAAACAAGTTCTTAAACATGGCACCTAGTAAATCGACACCTTGTCGGTTTCAAATTTCGATTTCTTACCTTAAAATGCGAAACAAAAAATTTAGAGGGGATCGGGTGTTACGTTAATAACTATTGTTAATAATCGCTAACTTGGTTTTATTCAAAACTGCACAAATCCCGCGTTTTCTGATGATATCCGACGATTTCATGAACGAAAATGGCCAGCAGCCAGAATCAAGGGGATTCGCACAGAGTTCTGGGTAAATCAAGGAAATACTCGCTATTACAGCACGCCTGATTGGCTGAAAATGAGTATGCGCACTTGATTGGACGGCGTCAGTTTGAACGATTCACTCATTCATTGTTTACACATGGATGTAAGCTCCAAGTTACTGTACGGGCTTTAACTCGTTGAGAATTGGTTAACACGCACAGAGTTCTAGTTCGACTTGTATTTCTGCTGGGATTCGAGCCTTGTGCGGTGTGACTTAATTGATATTGACCTTTAATCTGTTCCAGTTAACCGCATAACTGCTAGTATATGATTGCGTCTGTTCAGGGGTACCAATGAAAGTGTAGTTTTTTAATGAAAATCACAGCTTTGACACCGTGCAGCATAGCTTAGTCAGGAAAAGCTTAGCTGCAGGAATGAAATCCGCTAGTTTTGACATCGATAACTCAAGCTTTGAACATGTTTTGATGTTGAGGGCGTACACAACATGGCTGCCTCCAAAAGCAGCGTTAGCGACGGTAAGTATTTTACTCGTTTTCTCAACAAAATCACCAAGTTATGCTGTGTAATATGCCGCGATCAGTGAGATTCAGGTTCAATTTCATTTCTAGAAAGTTTCAGCCACCATTTTACGAAACTTGCAGAGAAATCTCAATTCTCATTAAAAAGCTACACTTTCATTGGTACACTAGGGTCACCAGTTATTGCGTGTTGGTTGTATACAAATATACAAGTCACAATTACATGTAATGCTAAAAAGTAGCAGTGGGGAAAAGAACCCACAGCACAAGGGCAGTCTTGTTTGGTAGCCACACTTGACTCCGCCTTGTGACACATATTACTAGGATTACGCTGCTTTATTATAAGACCAGTGTTTGAAATTTGTCAAAATAGGTATAAGTAATTTAAAATTTACAAGCCCTGTTTATGTTTTCAATATTTTATTTACTTTCATTCATTTCACTATATTTCATTCGGTGTCACTACAGTGTCTTTCATTCAAGTAAGAAAAATCTGATTCATAATTCTGCTCTGACAAAAGGTCGGGTGAATTGAAACTCT